GATGATGGTGATGATGATGAAGAAGAAGAAGATGATGATGGTGATGATGATGAAGAAGAAGAAGATGATGATAAAGAAGATGTTGAAGAAGAAGAAGATGTTGAAGAAGAAGAAGAAGATGAAGAAGAAGAAGATGAAGAAGAAGAAAAAGAAGAAGAAGGACAGATAATATTAGATCGCCATTTTTAATTGGCTGTCATAGCGACGTATTTCCCGCCTTGTTGCTTGGCAACGCACCTTCGCATGACTAGACTTAAATTTCGTTTCGTATTAGTCTCGTTTCGTGTTAATTTCTGTCTCGATTCGTCTCGAAATCTTCGCTACTGGCATTTTTGTTGTTGTTACTATTATTTTTAGTGTGGGGTCATTTCATCTTCTTTTTCTTGACTTTGTTAGGATTACTTTTCAATTTCCAACTTTTACTCTGGTTATTCGTATCGTTTTGTATAGTATCGTATCGGATGGTATCGTTATCAATTGAATTATTTCGAAAAATTTCCTTTCAAATAGGTTCGTTTCGATTCAAATTTCTGGTATTGGTATAAATTCGTTTCCAGTACGTGTGATGTATAGTATTGAGTATTGCAAAAAAAAAACATACACACACACATACATACATACCAACAAACATACAAACAAACAAACAAACACACACACACATACATACACACTTCTCAATATCTGTTGCCCGCGGCCTTCCATTGATGAATGATGGCCATCAAGTCACGCTTGTGTGACGTCACCGATGACGTAACGGAGGTTGATCGGTTGGTTGGTTGATTGGTTGGTCGGGTGATTGGTTGATTGATTGGTTGGTTGATTGGTTGGTTGGTTGGTCGGGTGATTGGTTGATTGGTTGGTTGATTGGTTAGTTGATTGGTTGGTCGGGTGATTGGTTGATTGGTTGGTTGGTTGGTTGGTCGGGTGATTGGTTGATTGGTTGGTTGATTGGTTGGTTGATTGGTTGGTCGGTTGATTGGTTGATTGGTTGGTTGGGTGGTTGAGTGATTGGCTGGTTAATTGAACCATTGGTTTATATTCCAACAACAAGTTAAATTACTGATCATATGCCCGTATGATGAATGATTGATAAACTAATCACATTCCGATTGATTAATTCATCGATTTTTTGATTAATTGGTTGAATGAATGACTTATTGATTAACTTATTGACCGATTGATTAATTGGTTTTGCTGCAGAAAAAAAAATTCACAGTCGGAATATGTTTAGACTTTTCGAAGGCGTTTGACTGCATTATGCTCAAAAAGTTAGAACACTACGGCGTGAAAAGTAAAACACTAGAATGGTTTTAATGTTACTTAGCTGAGAGAAAACGATGTCTTCTGGGATAATATAAGAACTCAAATCAACGAGCGAATAATTATGGTGTTCCACAGGACAGTATTTTTGGGCAGTTTTTCGCCACCAGCCATTTTGAATACATATGCTTTGCAGATGACACCAAAATTTCTTGCAATGGTAAACTAATTGATGAGATCATGCAAAAACAAATACGGAGTTGGAGCATGTTGTGTTTTGGTTCTCGGGTAACAGGTTAAAACTGAAACGCCGATGATAATGCCTGGACCTGTTCAGTTTTTAAACTATCAAGAACTTTACAAAACCACGATAAGTGAAAATAAAATTTTTGAAAGTAAAATGATTATAATTCTCAGGATGAACTTGGATCAAAAACTAACATTCAACGCGTACATTCAGCACATTTCAAACAAACTGGCTCAGTCAATAGGCATAATTAATAAAAATATAATTCTTCCTTCCTAAGAGATGTTTGAATCTTCTTTATAATGCTATTTGCACGCCTCACATAAATTATTGTAACTTTGTAATTATTGGTGCGTATCGTTCAACTAGAAATTCAATAAAAATTTTGATAAAGAGAGCAGTGAGAGTTATAACATTGTCTATTCAAGTTAAATTTTTCTCTCCATCTCTCCATTAAAAATTTAAATTTCGATCAAATCAGAAAATATTTCACAGCCATATTTGTCTTCAAGCAACTTTCCAAGAAACTACCTCCAATGTTTGACGAATATTTTAAAATGGCCAGCAACCACAGACGTGTCAACTTCCTGATGTCCAACAATTCGAGAACAAACTTGTTGTACTCTCATGTTGTCTGTAGAGGAACGAGGATTTGTTATGACATTTTAAAAAATGATTTTTCCTAAAATGAAACATCACTTGCTATGTTCAAAAAGAATTTAAAACCGTTTTTGTTAAATTTTATTAACAGAAGAAATACGTAACCTCTTTATTTCATTCAAATTTCTTATCATTTTCTGTTTGACGTTTGGGTGGGTATACATGTGTGTTAATTTGTGTACATTTTACATTTGTTTTTAGGTGGCTGTATGTATGTGTGTGTGTATGTGTGTGTATGTGTGTATGTATATACGTGTTTATGTCCAGGGTTTATTTTTTATGAAGGCGCCTGCGTGTGAAAGTATAATTTTATGTGTTATAATGAGGAGAGGTCAGAGTTCAAGTGACCAGTTCAAGGTCATTAGGGAAATTGGTTTTTATTTATTTTGTTCATTTTCAGTTTTATGCTTTTATTACTGAGTTTGATCTTTTGTAAGTTTGTTTGTTTGAGTGTTCTTTTGTTTATTTATTCATTCGTTCGTTTGTTCAATCATTTTTTATTAATTAATTAATTCATTCATTGTTCATTCATTCATTAATTAATGCATTCATTCATTTATTCATCTCTGCATCCATTCATTCACTATTTTAATTTCATTCATCCGATTTGTTTGTGTGCATTCTTCTTCTTCCTATCTTAAAACACGAGTTGAATGGGCAGCAGCAACACACTTCAAAAAATGATGTGCACCTTGGTGATGATGACGACGACGTTGATGATGATGAGGATGATGGTGACGATGATGATGATGATGATGATGGTGATGATGATGGTGACAATGATGGTGGTGGTGATGATGATGATGATAATGATGGTGGTGATGGTGATGATGGTGGTGATGATGATGTTGTTGTTGATGACGATGATGATAATCTTTATTTATAAAAATTTGTAAAAATATTATAACGACAAAAACCCGTCGCACCTTAAAAGCCATTCAAATAATTCCATCAATCTAATTGTCATAATATATTCATTGAATAATTAAGAAAAATAACTGACCGGTCAATTAGCTAATTAATAAACATAATGAATCGTTCATTAATCTAACTAATACTCACGTTGCCCGATAGATATTCGTGTTTGTTTCGGTATGTATGTAAGTATGTATGTATGTGTGTGTGTGTGCGTGTGTGTGTATGTGTGTGTGTGTATGTGTGTGTATGTGTGTATGTATGTGTGTGTGTATGTGTGTGTGTATATTTGTATGTATGAATGTGGAGTGGGTTGTTAAAAAATTTATGAAGGCTTGCATATGAAGATTGAATTTTGCCTTGAGCTTACACAATTAACACACGCATTTGCTAGGCGTCTTCATCTCCATCATCATCATCATCATCGTTGTCGTCGTCGTCATAATCACATCAAATCAATATCATAATCATCATTGTCGTCGTCATCATCATCATCATCGTCATCATCATCATCATCGTCGTCGTTGTATTCCTCCTTTAATTCTACCATCACAATTGTTAAATTTATTTCCATTGTGAACAATTCTAAAACTTTTCGTATTATTATTATTCATGTTAGTAGTAGTAGTAGTAGTAGTAGTAGTAGTAGTAGTAGTAGTAGTAGTAATAGTAGCAGCAGCAGCAGTAGCAGCAGCAATAGTAGTAGTTGCAGTTGCAGAATCAACGTTAAGTAGTAGTAAGCTATACTAATCCAGTATACAGATCTACAATTGATACATAAGTATGATATATAGGTTGATATCATAAGTGATACATATTTATATTTGTGATATATATATATATATATATATATATGCATGTATGTATATATATATAGACTCTTGTCAATAGGTTTGATTGGAAAAGTAATCTGGCTTACTTGCGCTACGTTTGCGTTTGATCTATCAAATGTCTCTGTTTGTTTGTTTAAATGTATATGTGTTTATATGCCATATATATATATATATATACATTATATATATTATATATATATGTTATATATAATATATATATATATTCAATAATAATTAGAACTTTTTCGTTACGACCAAAGCAAATTATTGAATCAATTAATGAAATGAAATTAAAAATTAATGAAATAAAATGAAATGAATCAATAAATTAAATGAAATTAAAAATTAATTGAATTTAATGGCGGTACAGTAAAAGTATGATGCTTATTTATCTAGGATGAGTACCCGAGGTAATCTATCTAAGGAGTGCTCCTATTGCAGTAAATGGCATACGACGATCTAGTAACGGAGTTAATTAGTTTGTCTGTTAATGAAATAGGCGAATTAGTTTTAACTGACGACAAATTAACAGTATTAAAAAATCAAATCGGAGTAACTTCAAATGATCTTAATTTAACAGTGCTGTTTTCATAGGAGGTGTTAGAGAATGATTTCAAGCTGTTGCTGTATATTGATTGTTTGTAGATTTCAGACTGAGTTATTTGAGGTGAGGATATAGTCTCTGTCACTGATTTGGTGAGGGTACCTTGACTTTGCAGAGAAACAACGTGATTCCAGCAGGCACCTATCCGGTTTTTTCCTAAGCATTTTAGCAGCTGAAATGTTGATAGTAAAATTTTAAAAACTTTACTTTATTATCCTTACTTTTTATTGGGCTCTGTTGGGTGTTTGTATGATTAATTCAATATTTTTATGAATATTTTATTATATTTATCATTTTATTATTATTGTTAATATTATTATTATATTTAAATGTAACAACGTGCAAATGATGAGCTTTTAAAACTTAAAACGTCCATGGCTAATCTACAATAAAACCCTTCCCGAACGCCTTCATAGGATTACATGTCAGGCAAAATATGTATGCATGAATGTGTGTGTGTGTGTGTGTGTGTGTGTGTACGTCTGTGTATGTCTGTGTATGTATGTGTGTGTATGTGTGTGTATGGGTACATACATAGGATACAAGTTATTATGATCTCAAATACCAAGTAAAACTGGAATGAAAAAGGAAAACTCAGTGTGTCGTAACGGTACGTATGGATGAATGAATGTTTTTACTTATGTTTGTTTGTTTGTATGTGTGTAAATGTGTGTTTGTTTGGGCTTAAGTGTGTTTGTGTGTTTGTTTTTTTGAATGTATATATGTATGTATTCATTGACGAATGACACCAAAAGCCAAGCGTCTGACCATATTTGATTTTATTTATGTATGTATGTATTTATGTATGTATTTATGTATGTATGTATGTATGTGTGTGTGTGTGTGTGTGTGTGTGTGTGTGTGTGTGTGTGTGTGTGTGTGTGCGTATGTATGATTGGATTTTCATAGTAAAACAGTGATATTTTTGACGTATAATTTTTTCATCTTAGTATTATTATTTATATTATTATAAGTTTCATTTTTATTATTATTATTGTTGCTGTTGTTGTTATTAGTGTTAGTGTTATTATTTTTTGTTGTTTGTTTACATGGCTTGCTCAGTCAGTAACATGCCTGTATATTTATGGAAGTCATTTTACTGGGATGAGATTATCCGTGGAACGTGTGATGGTATCAGTGAATGAATGAAAGAACAAATTAAAGAATGACTGAATGTATGAATAAACGATTGAACAAATGAATTATTGAGTAAATGGATGAATAGATGGATGATTGGATGAATGAATGGATGGATAAATGGATGAATGAATTATAAAATAAATTAACTCAATTTTGTCAATAATGAATGAATGAATGAATGAATGAATGAATGAATTAATTAATTAATTAATTAATTAACGAATGAATAAATGAATGAGCCTAAAATAGATAAACATTTTAATCTAAAACTGTATATGCGTAACAAATTGAAAACGGATGTTTTATGGCAAATTGCATACACTGATTGATAGATTTATAAAATAAAACCATAAATAAATAAACGAATAAATAAATTAATATGCTAATAATTATAATATTATTTAATGTAATTATTATTGTTATTGTTGATGTTGTTATTATTATTATTGTTATTTATAGTAAAAATTTAATTTATTTAAATTTAGTAGCGTGAGTTTTATGTAATGTATGCACGTAGATTAGGAGATAGTAGAATCAAATAAATTTCCGAACATTCAATTAATTTGAGAGTGAAGGAGTAAAAACTAAGTAAATGAATGAATGAATGGACAAATGAATGAATGAATGACGAATGAATAAATGGATAAATGAAAGAATGAATGAACGAGCTAAAATGAATTGATTATTGAATTTCGAAGAAATGAACGAACTAATTATTGGCCAAACGTAAGACCGAACGAACAAGTTAAAAAATGAATAAAACGGAATGAAGGAAAGATGGAACGAGTGAATGAATGAATAAACGGATGGACGGATGGATAGAGTTATCTAAATGGACGGATGGGAAAATGGAAAAGTGCAGTAGGCGAGTGTGATTAACGAGCGAGCGAATCATTATGGCTGTTGCTTAAAGAAGCGTGTTTTTATCAAGATGATGTTCTCCTATCCTTACGTCCCCGTTGCGTCGTTGTCGTCGTCGTTGCTGTGGCTGTGGTAGTTGTGGTAGAGGTTGTAGCAGTTGTTGTTGTGGCACATAAAAACGCATCACACACGGCATACGATGGGGAGGGATTTCTTAGCAGTCGAAGCCAGTTACTTTAACAGCAGAAGCATGCGCCTTCACACGTCCAGCTATGGATGGTTGTAGTTGCGTTTGTAGTAGTAGTAGTAGCAGCAGCAGCAGCAGTAGAAGTAGCAGTAGTAGTTATTGTTTTTTTGTGATAGAAGCAAACATGTATCACATACACACACACACACACACACACACACCCAAAAAACCAACCAATGATCATGATGATTGGGATGAAGATGATAACGATGATGATGACGACGATGATGATTGTGATGGAAAGATTGACGGGCAAAAAAAATGAAAAAATAGAAACCATTCATAATGGGAAAGATGACAATGATGTCGGTATTAATAGGGAAATAATGATTATGTTGAAAAAATTATTGTTATTATTGTTAGTTATTATTATTATTTATTATTATTATTTATTATTGTTATTTATTATTTATTATTATTATTTATTATTATTATTTATTATTATTATTTATTATTATTATTATTTTAAAAATCATCGTCGTCGTCGTCGTCGTATTTCACGAGACTCAATGAGCCGTCAGCAGCCCACAAATTAATCATCGTTCTAGCAGCAGCTTTCATCCATTCATTTGTTCGTCCGTTTGTAAGTTTGTTCGTTTGTTCGTTTATTCATTCATTCATTCGTTCTTTCGTTCGTTCGTTCGTTCTTTCGTTCGTTTGTTCGTTCATTCATTCATTTATTCATTCATTCATTCATTCATTCATTCATTCATTCACTCATTCATTCATTTATTTATTAATTCATTCATTCAGTCAGTCGTTCGTTCATTCACTCATTCATTCATTCATTCATTCATTCATTCATTCAAACATTCATTCATTCATTCATTCATACGTTTGTTTGTTTGTTAGATTGTTTTGTTTGCTGGTCTTCGTTTCGATTTCATTTAAGTTTTCTCATTCGTTTATTCATTCATTCGTTCACTCGCTCACTCATTCACCCAATTCCTCACTCACTCACTTACTCACTCATTCACTCATTCAATTATTTTATCATTCCTCTCTTAATTCACTTCTTTAAAAAAAAAAAAAAATAGTTAGTTGCCACGGAAACGGAAGTAAAATGAGATTTTCTGACGTCAACTTGTTTCGTAAACAACATCAAAGAAGTTACGGTGACGTCATTTTGATGATGGTGATGATGACGGTGATGGTGGTGATGATGATGATGACGACGACAATATTCATGTGATGCTACTATAGCTACGATATCACGGCATATAATGATGATGACGAAGACGACGACGACGATGGTGGTGATAATGGTGATAAATAATAATATCGAAACGAAACGAAATAATAACAAAGCGGTACTAACCAGGAAAACGAGATTCAAGAGTATGAGATAGGTTCTGGTACACCCACTTTTAATATGCTTGGTCCTTCTCAGAACATTACACACCCTCTCAACTTTGTGGCCAACATTGTTACCGCAACATTTGTTGTTGCTGTTGTTGTTAGGGTCATCGTTATCATCATCATTGTTGTTGTTGTTGTTGCTGCGACGGTTTTTGTTGTTGATGTTGTTGTTTCGTTTGCATAGCATTGTTGGTATGTTGTGTATATTTGAGGAACTGCAGCATGTGTTCATTGTTGTTGTTGTTGTTGTTGATGTTGTTGTTGATGATGTTGATGATGTTGTTGATGATGTTGTTGTTGATGTTAATGATGATGATGATATTGTGGTTGATGTTGTTGTTGATGTTGTTGTTGATGTTGTTGTTGTTAATGGTGGTGTTGTTGTTGTTGTTGCTTGAATATACTTGTCTGTCTGTCTGTCTGTCTATCTATATGTCTGTAATTTTTGTAATGATGATAAGGATGATAATGATGACGATGGTTAAAAAAACATTTCAAAATTAAACAAACTTTGAAATTTGTAACCAATCAAAAAGCAATGAAAAATATATTTTTTAACATACATACATACATACATACATACATACATACATACATACATACATACATACATACATACATACATACATACATACATACATACATACATACATACAAACAAACATACATACATACATACATATGTCAATAAGTAAATAAAAATAACTGACTATATATAAATGCACTGAAATAAAACAATTATTTTCTAGATGTCTTTAACAATGATGATGATGACGACGATGATGATGATGACGTCAAACAAGTAAAAGACTCTGAGATAAAACGATAACATTTTTGATAATTTCAAATTAAGCACGCATACACACGCACACACGCACGCACATACACAAACACACAAACACACGAAAGAGTGATAGTCCACACGCATGTACGGCAGCCCCCGAGAGAGATTAACGCGCATCCCTAATTTGCCACGTCATTTCCGCTCTGAGTAACAGCTTGTATGTTTGTTTGTCTGTCGGTTTGTCTCCGTGTGCGTTTGTGTGTATGTGTTTGTGTGTCTGTGTGTGTGTCTATGTGCTCGTATTCAAGTTTATTGGGTGCTTTTTTATGTTTGCTAGTTTGTATGTATGAGTGTGTTTGTATGTATAAGTGTGTTTGTAGGTATGAGTGTGTTTGTATGAATGAGTGTGTTTGTATGAATGAGTGTGTTTGTATGAATGAGTGTGTTTGTGTGAATGAGTGTGTTTGTATGAATGAGTGTGTATGTATGAATGAGTGTGTTTGTGTGAATGAGTGTGTTTGTATGAATGAGTGTGTCTGTGTGAATGAGTGTGTTTGTGTGAATGAGTATGTTTGTATGAATGAGTGTGTCTGTGTGAATGAGTGTGTTTGTGTGAATGAGTGTGTTTGTATATATGAGTGTGTTTGTATATATAAGTGTGTTTGTATGAATGAGTGTGTTTGTATGAATGAGTGTGTTTGTATGAATGAGTGTGTTTGTTTTTGGCGTGCTTGCTTGGGCTGTAGGGTTGCATGCATGCACTGATTTTACACACCATCTCTATTGATGTCTTTTAAACTGATGATGACGATGATGGTAATGATCATGGTGGTGATGATATAACAACAATAACAACAACAATATCAATAACATCAGCAACAACAACATTAACAACAACAGTAACAATAACAACATCAACATTAACAACAGCAACGTCAACAACAACAACATCAACAACAACATGATGATTGATCATTACTCCTACTCAGCCGTCAACGAAACAGAAACAAAGAAACAAAATGCAAACGCAACAATAACAACAACAACAACAAAACAATAACAAAAACAACAACATCATAAACAACAACAACAAAAAACAACAACAAACAACAACAACATAAACAACAACAACATAAACAACAACAACATAAACAACAACAACAACCAAACGTCGAAACGTCAACCACAGCAATGACCCTTCCTAATGATGAAAATCTCCAAGGAACAATAAATCAACAACAACAACAACAACATTAACAACAGCAACAACAACAACAGCAACAACATCAACAACAGCAACAGCAGCAACATCCACAACATCCTCAACAACATCATCAACAACAAAAACATCAACAGCAACAACAACAACATCAACAACATCATCAACAACAACAACAACAAACAAGCCAGCATACAACATAAACACAATCATTTACAATACAAGGACAAACTTCGAATAAAACTCATATAACAACAGCCAAGACTCAAACATATTTCATAACGTGATCAAAAGTTTTCATAAAACGTCCGTAACATTATCATTATTATTGCTGTTGTTGTTGTTGTTGATGATGATAATGATGTTGTTGTTGTTGTTGATGATGATGATGATGTTGTTGTTGTGTTTG